AGGTTTCTTTCCTGCAGGACTTGTCAGAACCTTTAATACAGTAACGTGCATGTGACTCTTGTGCAGTGGGCAGAGAGTGGGGCCTGGGGGATTTGGAGGACATCATAACCTTCACCAAAAAGGTCTATGCACAGGAACTGGTCTCTGCTGTGGACCATCTCTGGGGTCCAGTGTTCCCAGGAAGAAGAGCTCTCGAGGCCAGCAAGTGCCTGCCCAAACCCCTCTGGGCTCTCCAGAACTGAGCACATAGTAGGTCCACAGCACTATGTGCTGATGGAGGGACTGGGACTCCAGAGAGTGAACAGGCTTCTTCTCGGACCCTTTTCGGCTGGTGCTGCTGTTGAGTTCTCCCGGGCAGGATTGCCCTCCCAGCTAGCCAAGTGGACTAAAGGAACCAGGCGGAGCTGCCTGCGTCTGGGGTGTTGGGATGCCTTGGATTTGGGAATGTTTGCACATGTGCGCCTCATGCGCTCAGCCTGAGGTCATCTGTGCCGTCTCTAGTGCTCCCGCATTGTGCTTGACCCCCAGCCTGAGCTCAGGCGAGGGACTTTCCACTGTGGCCTCATTTCCAGCTCCAAGTTATGGGTTTGGGAGCGAGTGGGGTTTCAGACTGGGGATTGGGGAGCTCAGCCCACACAGCTTCACCATCAGCTAATGCTGATGGACAGGGCCTCTGCTGTGCGTTGGGATTCTGTTCCAGAGAATTCCAGGGGGACACAAACAGTGCACAGTGCGTATGAAAAGTGGCGGCTTGCAGAACAGCCCCCCAAGCCTGGAAGGACTCGCTGCTCCTACCAGGACAGGAGTGCGCTTGAGAGCAAGCCGCCTCCCTTCCTGCTTCTAAATAAACGCAGACTGTATTTTGGAGCAATTTTAGATTCTTGGCAAAGTTGAGCCTCAGGTGCAGAGATGTCCCATGTCCCCAGCCCTGTCCCAGCTTCCCCTGCTGTCAACACCCACTAAGGACATGCACCCAAGCCGACAGGTCATTGCCGCCCAGCGCAGGAGGGTGGTGCCTGGTGCCAGAGGGCCTGAGGGCTTGGACCTTCGTGGTGACGAGACTCGCCACTGTAGGGTCACTGGAACAGGGCCACTGCCGGAAGGCCCTCTGTGCTCCGCGAGGTGACGTTGCCCTGTGCTGAGGAGAGCTGTGCCTGCTGCTGTAGAGATACTGAGAGTGTAAGAACTGACAGAGAAGAGAACCAGATCACCTCCAGCCCCAGCTACAACACCGACCCTGGTTCCCACTGTCTGGCAACCCCTATTCTATCCCATGCTGGTGGCTTGGCCTCTGGAGGCAGATTCCTCCGGGTTCTACCCCCAGTGACATTTGAGGGCAGCCCCATCACTCCGGACAAGGGGCTTCACCTCTCCAAGCTTTGGTGTCCTCACAGGTAACATGAAGGTGACAAGAGGTTGCAGTGAGACCCACTTGGCACACAGTGAGCATTTGGGCACCGTTCATGTTAGGAACGTTGCCCGTGGCTTGAAGTAGAATTTGACAACGTGATGGTGCCTAACCTGAGAGTCTCCTGCCATCTGGCCACGCAGAGAATTCCCGAGGGACGGCCGTTTCCTCCCCACCAACCCACTGCAAGTTGGACACGTCCTTCGGGGGAGGTGCACCTGACAGTGGCCTCTAGCACCAGGCTCTTCTGGAATAAGTGCTGCCCCGTGGAACTCATGGAAGGGGTGCTGAAAGCAGAAACCACGCGGCGCGGGCTCCCATCCCACAGCGAGGCCCGGAGACCCCGTGTGGAGTCAGCCTAGGCCGGGGACCTTCTGCCCTCAACTTCCTGGACGGCTCAGTGACGTGGGGGAACCCAGGCAGTGCCCCGCCCTGGGAGAGCCCGTGGGGGAAGCAGCAGGGGAGGGCACCGGCCAGACAGCCAGGAAACCGTGTTCTTTTCTTTCTGCAGAACTGGGGTGGAGCCCAGACCCCACCCCGCTGGTCAGGCTCCACCCCTGAGCCACGTCCCAGCCCTCAGAACACAATCTTGGCATGAGGGGGACAGGGCCCAAGGTGCCCATCCCTGGTCCCCGCCTCCTCCCACAGCTCTCCCTCTGCTCCCAAGCCAAGCAGCGGTGCAGATGGAGCGCCCCCCAGCAGGACACTCCGCCCACCCCTGGCTGTCCCACCCCGTGCCCTGGAGAGGTTGCTTCCTCCCTCTGAGCTCCTCTCAGCCCCAGGGGGCTTCCGTCATGCTCTTGTTCTTTCTAGAAGGTTCTCCCTTTCTGGCTGTCGGCACTTGATCCCTTTGCAGGTTCTTGTTTAAAACTGCTGTGATGTTTCAGAAGAAACCAGATCACAAGAGACCTCGCCAACCAAGTGCCAGCGGCTGACCTTTCAGAAGGCGGCTGAGCAGGCGCCACCTCTGCCTTGGGAAACCAGTGGCTTTTCCTCACAGTGGGCAGCCTTCCTGGGGTGTGTGCTGGGTAAGGGTCCTCCACTTGTCAAGGAGCAGGCCCCGATGGGGGCTGAGACGCAGGAAGACGTCCCACAGTCCACGGGCAGAAACCCTCCGCACCTTTCCCTGCCTTGGATGCCCCCACCAAGGGCCTCCCTGAAGGAGCTGATGTGCACAGCCTCTGTCTCTGTCCCCAGGAGTGGCGGCTACTTCTTCCTCTTCGTAGCTCTCCTTCGGGAAGATGTGGATCCATGCTCCCAGAGCTGGTCACTCCTATTTGATGTTTCCCTGGTATTCTGATATGGGAGGATTTCTGAGATGGATTGTCAATATTTGGGGAAAGCAAATCGCAGACTGAGGGGTTTAGGAGAATCCTATTTTTATCAAAATTTGCAAGGAGAAATATTTAGAGTAGAATAAACTACTTTCTTATTTCCTTGGAAGCAGGATTGCTATGCTGCCCGATGCTGTCTTCTAGAAACCCTCAGATGGCATCAGGAGCTCCTGCTCCCCCTTTATGTAGCACTTGGGCACTGACACGGTTGAAAAGGACAGTGGATTACGATAATTAGGAGACTCCTTTAGAGCAGTTTCAGATTTGCAGAGACCTGCAAAGTTGGACAGAAGTTGCCGTGAGTCCGTCTCCCCTGAAGTTTCCCTGTTAGCGATCTGTTATGGTTATGAAGGTCAGTGGTTAGTAACTTAGTAACAAGTCTGTAGACGCCCTAGGCTCCCTCCAGTTTCCACAAGGCCAGGGTTCTGGACCTACTGTCCAGTGTCACCAGGGTGGCCGCCTTGTCCTTCTTCCTGGCCTCTACGCCCATTACTGATATTTAACATCGTCTTTCAGCTGGACCTGAGGCTCTGCCAGAGCGGCCTCTCTGCTCTGTGGACTAGCAGACGCCTGCTCTCGGATCAGAGCCTGTTTCTTGTTTTTCCTTGGTACCAGGGATTGAACCCAGGGGCGTCTAACCACTGAGCCACATCCCAGCTCTTTTTATTTTTTGAGATAGGTTTTCACTAAGCTGCTCAGGGCCTCATTAATTTGCTGAGGCTGGCTTTGAACCTGTGATCCTCCCGCCTCAGCCTCCAGAGCCACTGGGATTACAGGCATGGCCACTGTGCCAAGCTAGAGCTTGCCTCTTAACAGGAACCCTGTGAATATTTCTCCTTGCATATTTTAATAAAAATGGGATTCTACTAAACACATCAGTCTTCAATTTGCTTCTTCCAAAAATTGACAGTATATCTTGGAAACCTTCCCATATCAGAATATAAAGCTCTTTCTCTCTAACTTTGTACTGTGGAGACTCTCCAACACACATATGAAAGAAGAGGGGATCCACCATGACGCGCCTGTCACTTTGGCTGTCCACTGGCAGCCCTTCTTGCTTCCTTAATATCTCAGTCCATGTTTCCCTTTTTTGTATTTGGAAGCAAATCCCAGTCGTCAGCTAATTTCACCTGCCATTATCTGTGGTACCTCTGTAACAGACAAGGACTCTGTCTGTGGCACATGACCATATCATCATCGTCACACCCGTTGAACGTTAAAATACAGTCAGCGTCCAAAGTTCCACGTATCCCGTGTACGGTGGAGGGTACAGAGCGTGGGAACCAAATCCAGGAGGCTCACACTGCCCGGGGTGATGGCCGCTGAGGGCCTGTAGATCAGGGTCCCCTCTCTGCCATCCATCCTCCCTTCTGGCCCTTCCTGCAGCCTGGATCGTGCGGCTGTGTCCCTGGTTTGTGTGGAAGTGGCTCCATCCTCTGAACTGTCTGGTCCCATTCAAGTCCAGTCAGTCTCGTCAGTGGCTCTGGGCAGGGGCGTTTCTCCTACAGAAACTCTCTCGGGTCGTCTCTGTCTGTGATGTTCAGGTGTCACTTCTCAACGCCCGGAGCCCTTTATTCATTGGGGCTGCCGATCCTAACATGAAATGCTTCTATAAAAAGAAACTTCCCTCCACGTTCGGTGGCCCTGAGGTACAGTCTGTGTAGGACAGGCAGGATCAATGCTGGGTTCTTCCCTTTATTTACCAGTTTTCAGAATAATGAGTTGCCTATAAATATTTGAATGAATGAATGAATAATACATGTGTGGATGATCCAGCGGGTTCGGGAGCTGGGGTTCTCTGCTGCCCTCCAGGAAGTAGGTGTGGGCCACCGCTGGGTAGCACAGGAGCCACCTTGGTGGAGTCCCTGTCTGAGTAAGGAGGGCCGGGAGCAGCGCTTGCTACCTGTCAGCCTTCAGTCAAGAGCGCAGGTGAGCTGAGTTCCTAAAAATACAGCGTCTGGGACCAGGGATCAGCCCGTCCCATCAGCGGCATCAGACCCTGGAAACCACACGCTGGGAGAAAGGACCGACTGCAGGTCCAGGTTCCAGCAGGGAGAGGTCTCAAAGTGCCGCAGACCCTCCCCAGGACGGGGAGTTGGGAGTTTCTGTCCCAGAGGAGGAGTTGGGTGCAGGCTGGGCTGGTGGCCTTGCAGGGTGCCTTCTAGGCCAGCCCGGCACCACCCAGACTGCTCCTGGGGGCCAGGTCCTCCGCCTGCCCTCCGCTTGCTGACCTCTCTGCCCTCTCTGGGTCTCCCCAGGTGCAAGTGCAACCTGCACGCCAACCTGTGCTCGGTGCGGGAGGGCAGCCTGCAGTGCGAGTGTGAGCACAACACCACGGGCCCCGACTGCGGCAGGTGCAAGAAGAACTTCCGCACGCGGGCCTGGCGCGCCGGCTCCTACCTGCCGCTGCCCCACGGCTCTCCCAACGCCTGTACGTACGCCCCGGCCCCCGCCAGCCTGGCTGCAGCCCACAGATGTGCACCTGGTACACATGTGGACACACATGTGCCCTTGGGCTTACAAGCACACACACACACCAACAGATGTACGCAAGCCTGGGTGTGCGCACACACACACACACACACACACACATTTTGTTGGGAGCCTGTGACAAGACCCTCTGGCACGCGGGCCCACTGCCCCGGGGAAACCCGGGATGAGCTGGCCAGCCCCCTTCCTGCTGCCCTTCCCCCCTTGACTGAGAAGCAGGCAGGAGGCCCCTGGAAGCAGGGGGTGGAGACCCCCCTCCAGGCAAGCAGGACTCATGCGGAATGTCACGGGATGCATGTCTCATGGTGTCACATGCTGCAGGGGCCCCTCCCTGGGCGTTTTCAGCCCAGCCCCTGAGGCCCTTGGTGAGCCCCAGGGCCTGCCCGGTCCTACCCTCCCCTACTCCCCAGTGCCAGGAAGGCCTTGCAGGGGTCTGCCCACAAGGGTCAGCATTGCAGACCCCTTCAGGGGTCTCCCCTCACCACATGCCCCCAGTGTAGGCCACAGGTGCCTCCAGGAAATCAGGGACCCCAGGGAGCTGCTGGCTGCGAGTGGAGAAGGGCCTGGCTGGCTCAGGGGGAGCACCCTCTGACCCTGGAGCGCCTCTGGTTCTTCCCATGTCCAACACCTGTCAGGGCTTTGTCCTTTGTCCCCATCGGAGGCTACAGCGGGCCGCTGCATGCCCCCGGCCTCCCCCCAACACTGAGCACACTGAGGAACTGCCACTTCCACCACCCAGCCACCTGGGGCCTCCCGGCACAACAGCAGGAGTCACAGCCAGGGTGGGTCCAGATCCCCTGGACCACGCCAAGGGCGGGCAGCAGCCTCCTGCCCCAGGACCGCCCCGCCCTGCTGGGACCCGCCCTGACTGGGAAAGATTTATGTAGCTTTAGGCTGATCAAAGCTGAAGCTAGGCAAGGCCGTGACAGGCATTTCACACAAGGGGCCTGGGCCGGCGTGACAGGACTTTGAACGGGCGACGCTCCAGAACCTCATGGCACTGGAGGGTCTTCAAAGGCACTGACTGCTCTGGTGCGGCCCACCCCCTGCCTGGTCCCTCCTCCCAGGTCCCCTCCCCATCTCTTTTGTCCTGAACCTTTTCTTTCAATGTGTCACCCTCTCCCCTGGCAGTCCTGCCTCCGCTCTGTCCCAAGGCCTCTCCCGCCCGCCCGCCTCCCTCCCCTGCGCACACTCCCAGCTCCCCTCCCCCGTTCCAGGAAGGATTCTGCAGGGCCTCCCGTCTGCCCGCGTCCACCGCCAGGTCTCCACAGGCCCCACCCTCACCCCAGGCGGGAGTCCTCGCCTGTCTGACCAGCCTGGACAGACAGACCTCAGCCCTGGCCTTGGCCTGCTTCCTCTCCACAGCGGGTGGATGGGACAGCTCCCATTTTGGGGAGCCAGCCCTGGAGCCAGCCCCGCCACTGCCTCCCCAGGTGTCACCAGGAAGGAGGGGTCCTCCTGGACCCCTGGGAGGAGGGGTGCTCTGTCACTGGGTCCCCTGCCTCTGGGGCAACAGGGAGAGGACAGAGGAGGAGATGCAGCCCCAGGTCAGCCCTTCCTCCCCTCTCCATGACCCCATCCCAGCAGGTAGCATCGTCCCCAGGGGAGCTGCCGGGGCGGGGGTCACCTGATTGGAGCCCCCGCCCACACCTGCCCAGGCTCCCTCCCTTCCCAGAGCCTGTGCCCCCAACCTGCCTCAGCCCTGCTGAGGAACCCCATGGCCCCCACCCCCCACTTCCCCTCAGGCCGTCCTTCCTGGGGGCCACAGCCCTGGGAGCCCTCCGAACGCACCCCTACTCATCGGACCTGCTGGGAGAACCCCACCATCCCCCACCTCTGAGCCCCAACTCCCCACATCCCTTTTCGGACGTCTCTTGTGACTGTGTCCTGCAGCCTGGAGCCTCCTCTGCCCTGTCCACTGCTCCCTCACCCTCTAGGCCCCAGTGGGGGCCACCTTGCCCCCTGAGTTCCCTGCAGTTAGCTCTGCCTGGCCCCCCACCCCCCCACTTGGGTGGTAAAGGGAGTCGGGTGTGGGTGCTCATCCTCCACCTCCCCGGACTGTGGGGGCCACAGCCATGTGCCCTCGGGCCACCACACGCCTTTCTCAGGAACACCTGCCTGCTGTTTGTGGCTGTGCCTCTGTCCCCAGCTCTGGGGGAGGCCTCCTTCCCTCCTGAGGCACAGGAAGCTGGGTTCAGGGTGCTCCCGGCCACACCCCGCGGCCTCCTCCCCTGCAGGGCAGGACATCAAGACCCCATGTGGGGCTGCCCTTCCAGGGGTGCTCACGCTGCCCGGCGGAGGCCCCTTAACACGGGGCAGCCAGGCAATCCCAGCGGGCTGTTGGGCCACCTCCGTGTCCCTGTCTACACTGTGGGGCCCCAAATCTGAAATCAAATACAAAGGGGGTGCCTGGCACTCACGGGCACGTGGGGGCTCGCAGTTCCCAGACTTGGTTTCTCCATCTGCAAAGTGGGCCCCTCCTCTCTGGTGGCAGTGGGAATAAACGGGCTCGTCCTCCGCCGAGGTCCCCAGGCCCAGAGGCCGCTCCTCCTACCGCAGGTGCAGCGGGGCAGAGCTTGGGACCTCGGAGGGAGGGACACCTCCCTGGGCTCACCCTGCCCTGCCACTCACTCCTCTGCAGGGAGGAGACAGCTGTCCCCTTCTGCCCCCACAGCCAGCTCTGTGACCCTTTGTCTCCCCGCAGGTGCCGCTGCGGGCTCCGCCTTTGGCAGTAAGTAGACTACATAAGCCTCCTTGTTTGTCCCGAAAGAGCATCAGAGAAGGGAGGGGCTGGACGTCCCTCTGGCTTCGCGCTCCCTCTGCTCATCACCCTCATTTGCTTCCTCGCCTCTCTCCCTCGCCTCTCTCTGTCGCCTGCAGCCCGGCAACTTCGTCTCTCCCAGGAGCTTCATTAGTGCTGCTTTGGAAGCCTCAGGGCCTTTGCATAGGTCCCCTAGACTCCTGGGCCCACTCCCTGCTCCCCTCGCTACTCATTCCTTGGCTTCTTCTCTCTCCCCAAATCTGGAAGGAGTCTCTCCTGACTAGGAGAGACAAGGACAAGGAAAGGGGGGCCTTCTTCTCCTGCCAGTGACAGAACCTGCCCCCACCTTCCAGCTCAGCTCAACTCCCCGGGCAGGTCAGACTGGTGGGTCACCTGCAGAAAAGGAGTCCTGGGAGTCATGAGGAGGCTGAGGGTGCTGGCCGTTAGTACCATCTAGACAGGTCGCCAGGCCCCAGGGCTCCAGGCACCCGGCTACCAGGACTCGGTACTAGCTCACTTACGCCCTCCTGGCAGCCCCCCCCCGGGGGGGGGGGCACAGGGCTTGCCATCTGCTCTGCCAGCCAGCAGGAATGGACTTGCCGCTGTCAAACAGGCGGCTGGTGGCAAACCCCAAATCTCGGAGTGCTTCTAAGACATTTGACACCCTCTACCACAGCTCTGTGGGCCATACCCCATCCAGCTGCCCTCCCCAACCTGGCTGCCCCCCACGGGGACGCCAGTGGGCAGAGAGGGCCCCAGAAGGAGGCTGGCCCCGCAGGGAATGCGGGTCTGCACAGCCGGCATCGGCACCAGTGTCTTCTTGGTGGTGCCCGGCTCCCCCGACCCTCACCTCTTCTTGCTTTCCCATCTCTCACCAGGCGCCGGCAGGTCCCGGAAAGACCCTGCTCCCCAGCCCCCCGTGGCCACCGTGGCCATAAGCGGGGAGCCCATCGCTTCCACCCCCTCCACATCTACCGCCCAGGCCCCCAGAGTCCCCAGTACCCCACTGCCCACAGGTGGGTGCCTGTGATCCCAGTGTGCCCTACCCGCTGCTGCTGCTCCTGGCCCCGGGCAGGGCTCGCCTCTTAGAGTAGGAAGCACTAGTGCCCTGGTGTGCGAGAGTGTGGCCTAGGGGACCTCCAGGCCGCTGAGCCAGCCTGTCATCCAGCCCCAGCCAGGGACCCAGGCACCACTTTAGGCTCCCAAAGTCCTCTTCCCCTGCTCTAAGGCACTCCTGAAGGGTCCTGATTCCAGTGTGGCCAGGGGGCCAGGGGGGCCAGTGGTAGAAAGGACACCCTGACATTCAAACTTAGATGGGGACAATAGTATTTCAGAGGAGCCTCCTGGGCAGAGGCTGGGGCGAGGAAGTCGGGGCTTCCTATGTAAGTGACCCAGCCTCCTGACTCCCTTGTGCTACAGTGAAGGGCAGATAGGAGCAAAATGGCCAGGAAGGGAGGGGTCTGCCCCGTTCCCACGGGGGGCCAGGCACACCCTCCCCACCACATGGGCACTCTGAGCGACCTTGAATCCTCTTCCAAAGCTGCTTCTGATTTGGCGTGAGGGGTGCAGGGCAGACCCTGAGGTTGAACATGAACGGAGACAGGGGTCAGAGTGGTGACCCCAAAGGTTTGCATGATGAGGGTCCCTAGGACCCTGGCTGTGAGCAGGAGACACACCCTCCCTCCAGACTCCAGAACAGACATCTGGGTGGGCATGCTGTGGGCCCTGCTCCTGCGCCCTGTGCCAGGCAGCGAGTATTAAGGGAAGCGGTGGCTCAGGGTGACAGCCAGTGGTCTGAGCCCTCGGTGTCTAGGGTCCTCACCTCCCCTAGAGTCTTAACCTGGACCCCCCAGGGCGCCTGAAGGCCCGTGGGTAGGGTGATGTTCCAGCTGGTGAGAGTGGGCTTCACCCAGCCCAGGGCTGTGCTCTGCCGTGCTGTGCCCCTTGCTCTGCGGGAAGTGACGGAGGCTGTCATTTTCATAGTCCCGCTGGGAGTGGGATTGAGGCTTAGGAAGCAGCAGCGGGGTTTATGGTGGTGAACTAGACCTCAGTAAAGCTGTTCTAAAAAAAGAAAAGGAAGGGAAGGAAGAGCAGCTGCCCAAGGCCTCAGGATTATGAAGATGCTGGACGGGAGCTCAGGGCTCACCGACTTCAGCTGCCACCTGCCCCCTCTGCCACCCAGGCCCGGGCCTGGGCGCCGTGAGGTGGCACCACCTCTGTGGCCTGGCTTCCCGGCTCCCTAGCTCTGGGTAGGCCTCGGGAACGTCTCGGGAACGTTCTTCTCACACTCCTGAGCATGTCCTGGACAGCCCGGCGGGAGGCTTCCCCTCCTCAGACCCTGGCCCCCAGCTAGCCCCAGGCTTCTCCAGCCCTTCCAACAGGCTCTTCAGCCTCTGGTCAGACTCCCTGGCCCCGAGGTTTCTCCCACAGCTGACAGGCTGCTAGTCCCTCCCCACTGGGCCCTGGGGGGGTTAGGGTTAGGGTGCCTGAGGGCTGCCGTCACTGCGGCTCTAATTAAGCCCTTGCCAGTTTGAGTTCCCTGGCACGGTTTCCTCTCTGAAGGCCACACTAATGTCCACTTGACGCCCAAGGCCCTCGCTGCAGCTGGGAAGGGTCCTGCCCACGTCAGCTGCAGATTCTCTGTCTCTCCTCCTCCGTCCTCATGGTGGGTGCTCCCTTCAGGAAGCGGGAAGCCTCAGAGCAGCTCGTCCCCAGCCCACCCACGCTGCCCGCTGTGCCTAGTTGGTCTTAGGGACGAGCACTGTGGTGTGTGGCAGGCGACCCATGTCGGGTCCCCAGAGAAAATGAGGGAGGTGGAAGGGCTGTGACCCAGGAGGTGGGTCCCTGGCTGGGGGTTGGAAAAGAGGTGTCTGGGGGCCTCTGGACACATGGGGTACCCTGCCGGGACACGCATCCTCCTTTGCAGCCATTAGCCAGAAACTCGGCAGAATCTGGGCCAGGCACAGGACCTGGTCCGACACTGCCCTTTGGTGAGAATGGGAACCACACAGGGAGGGTTGAAGAGTCCCCAGGTTCAAGTTTTCCACAGAAGGAAGGACTGCCCAGGGCTCACAGATTCTCAGGCATGGGGACCCCCAGTGCCTAGCAGTGTGTGCGTGTGCGTGTGTGGTGTGTGTGCATGTCTGTGTGCACATGACTGTGCATGTGTGTGTGCATGGGCGTGCACCTCCCAGGGCTGCAGTAGTGTAGATGCTGCCTCTGTAGTGGATTTGGACCCAGGTCTTCTGGCAGTGTAGACAGAGCCTTTCCTCCATAGTGCTGCTTCTTATGAGGGGCTTGTGGGAGTGTGGTGGTGTCACCTCCTCGCATAACTCGACTTCTTCTCTTCTTCCCTGCAAGAGTGGACCAGGCCATCAACAGCTGCCCCTCTTGGGGAGAGCTCCCCCCAGCCCCAGGTTTCCTCCAGTGAAGAAGGTATGGGGGGCAGGGCCTGCGACAGGCCTTAGGACCCCAGAAGCCCCTCCTTAGCTCCTTGGGCCCCTCTGTCCCTCGTAGAGGTAGTAGGTGTACATGTTGGGGACCGGGGTGGGACAGAGATCCCAGGAACTGAGGGAGGGGTGTAGAGAGACCAGCATCTGGGAGCTCAGGCCAGAGCAGCGAGGGGAGGCCCGAGCTCTGCAGCCAGCCTCAGCTGCGTGGAGGGCGTGACACCACAGTCCCCCAGGGGGTCAGAGTCAGGTGGCCACACTGCCCTCATTACAGGAATCCTCTCACTGGCCGCCCGGTTCACAGGACCCTCATCACAGGCATTGACGGAGCCCAGAGAGGGGACAGGTAGACCTGCAGGGCGCTTGCGAGTGGGTGAGGGAGAAGGGAGCGCGCACCTGGGAGGGCAGCTGGGCGGTGGCTCAGCCAGGCAGCGGCAGGAAGCTGGTCAGCTTGCTGGTCAGACTAGGCCGGGAGGGATAGCAGAAGGCCGTGAGGACAAGCCAAGAGTCTCTCTGCACTGGAGTGGGGGACACAGGCCTCTTGGGGAGTCAGGGGGTGACATGTGCAGGAAACAGGCCCATCTAGCTCCACAAGGGGAGCTGGCCCCTACCTGTTCCCAGCCCTGTGCCATCTCTGAGCGGCGAGCAGGGCTTTGAGTGCCCCCTGCTGGCAAGGGGCTCCCCAGCTGGGCCCACAGTTATGAAAGTCAGCTCCTAGCAACCTGGAGGCCTCCCCGCGGTGACAGAGCAGGTAGAGCCAGCTGAAGCCATCATTTCCCTTCCTTGGACCCAGTAAGTCTCCACAGACTCCCAGAGGGGACAGTGGCATGCTCACCCCCCACAGGGGCTGGGGCCTCCCTGGGATCCCAGACGGTGGAGACAGGTACGTCCGTCCGCATTCTTGGCTGGCAACGCTTGGAAGTGGGAATCCAGGGACAGGAGCAGACACCTTAGTGGTGCAGAGAGGCTCTTCAGAAAGGACAGGAGCTGCCCAGGTCGCCAGTGCTGGGTTCAGATGGTGGGTCAGAGGCCCACAAAGTTCGGGGGCTGAGGCGGAGGGCGGCGTGCCAGGAGTCTGAGAGAGATTCTCATCCTGTCAGAAACCCTCCAACAGGGAGTGTCTCGCCCGGCACTCTGGGGGATGCCGGAGACAGATGGGTAGTAGATGGTCTCAGAGACGGAATCCGGCTGGCCCTGGGGGCTCACCTGCAGCAAGGTGCTTCCACTCCCAGCCTCTGAGCGGGGCCTGACTCCCCCCTGAGGGCATGTGTTCTGACACCCGGGTGGCCTCCCCTACCTCCAAGTGAGCAGGTGACAAGACTGGCCCAGAGCTGGCCCAGGGCCTCTCAGGAGACTTTGTCCTTCTTCTCACTGGGCTTGGGCTGCCCACCCCGGGGCAGCTGGACAGTGGCAGGTGAAAGAGCTTGTTTCTCATCTCTCCAAGCTGCGGGCACTTCCGCCGCTGTCCCCACCCCTGCTAAGAGCTCCAAACTATTCCAGCTCAAGCCCAAATCTCCTCAAGTGATGCCTATTGAAGAATTCCAAGGTAAGAGAAGGCCTGGGGCTGGACCAGCCCTCCCCCCACATCTCTTCCCCACCTCCACTGGAAAAAAAGGGTGCAGGACAGGACCACTGGTGTCCTGCTCAGAAAACCCTCCTGGAGTAGCTGGGTCAAGGTTAAACTACGCCTCTCTTCCCTCCGGCCCTCCAGCCCCACGGGAGCTGGAGACAAGTATGAGTCAGAAGCCAAACTGGGCACAGTGGGCAGGCCCACGGCAGCAGAGTTGCTGCCAGAAATAGCCTGTCCTGACTCCCTTGGGAGGTGTGGCCCAGGGGCTCGCTTGGTTGAAGAAGAATCTGGGCCACTCTGGTCACTGACGCTGCTCTTCAGGACACTTAGAAGATGCCCTTCCTCCTTCTGAAGTGATGAGGTGAAGGGGTGGTCCAGGAGGCCCATGGGTGGGGAGGCCCCCATCTCTCATAGGCTGCTTCTCCAGCGTCTCCCACACCTGTGGAGTCCACCTGGGAGCCTTGCCCCAGGTGGCCACGATTTTGGCAAAGCCACTGGGCAGGAGTCAGCCTAAGAACCACATGAAGGGGCTGGCGACGGCCCCATGATGGCACTGGAGTGGCTCTTCTCCAGGATTAGCGAGCATCAGAAGCCCTCTGGGACCAGGAGGGATCAGGGAGATGCCTAGGGCCCTGCAAAACCTGCACTGTGATGCCAATCAAACCCATGAAAAGCTCAGACTAATCACAAAGTGTCCTGTAGGGACAGGGACAGGTGGTTTTCTCCCAACCCTCTTCCAAAGCAGCACGGGAAAGAAGCTCCTGGCCCATTCCCTCTCGTCCGGCATCTGTGCATGCATTCAGCCATCCGCAGAACCCTGGCCATGTGATGGCCCGCCAGGAACTCGGGCACTGCCTTCCCTGAGCTCACAGCCTGGCAGCACCACCCTGTCCTCCATGCATGAATCAGTTTCTAGTCACCCTGGTGCACGGGCACCCTTCGAGAGCACTTTGCCCTGGCAGCTGGCCGGGTGTTAGCAGGTGCTGCCCATGCCCTTCCTGGTCCCTGACCACAGGCCTGCATGGGTCCTGCTGGCTTTGAGCTAGAAGGCCTGGCTCTTTCCAAATGCCACACAAGTGTCTGAGGCCTGGGGCACTTTCTGGGTCCTCTTCCAAAGATGTCTCCCTCCCTCCCCTCATGTCCTGGGGTGGGTCCTTCCTCCCCCATGCCTCAGTTTCCTCAGATGCTCACTGACCGTGGGTGTCTCTCCCGCTTGGCCGGCCCAGACTGTGAGTGCTACGGCCATTCCAACCGCTGCAGCTACATCGACTTCCTGAACGTGGTGACCTGTGTCAGCTGCAAGCACAATACCAGGGGCCAGCACTGCCAGCACTGCCGCCTGGGCTACTACCGCAACGGCTCAGCTGAGCTGGACGACGAGAACGTCTGCATCGGTAAGGTGCAGGCCGCAGGCAGCCAGGGCAGGGCTGGGCAGAGGCCCCGGGTGGAACCACCTGGGTGGTGCAGAAATCCCGACCCAGGGCCCCCTCCAGTAGGTGCCTCTAGGGACAGATGCCTGCAGAGCTGCTCTGCTAGCGACCACCGTAGCTTCTTCCCTCAGGTCCTGAAGATGTAGAGCCTCTAGTTAGAGGCAAAGGCTGGGTTCTAGAGCCGGCCTTGCTGTGTGCTTTTGGGCCAGTCCTTTGCCCTCTCTGACTCCACACTGTAAGATGGGGAGGTGATCAGGTTCAAGGCTTTCAACCTCTTCTATTGCTGAAGCGTCTCCTTCAAGTGCTTCATAAGCAGAGGCCCAGCTCACACCAGTTGCCCTGTGGGCCCTGCTTGGCTTTCTCAACACTCTACTCCAACACGGGTTTGGGGTAGAGGAAAAGAAAATGCACGGAGGCCTTGGGCCCACACAGGGGACAGACCATCCCAGAGAGCCAAACCCGTAACACCCAACCAACACACCCTGTAAGCCCAGGGAGGGGAGCCCGGGCTGCCCCCCACCTGTGTGCAGCAGAGACCAGGTCTCAGCTTCAGAGGCTGTCCCCACTGCAGCCAGCCAGGGGGCCCACTGCGCACCCCCACAGGCTGCCCTGGCTGTGCAGAGGAGGGGCTGCTGTGAGGCTGGAGCTGTGGCCTGAACCAAGGCAGCAGCCTTAGATAATTCCATCTCCTCTGAGTGATGGAAACAGAATCCTGCTGCCAGTGCTACATCGGGCCTGTCAGATTACAGGTGCCCCTTCTCTCCCTGTCTCTATCTCCAATCTGGGTAAGAGCCCTGGGCTTCCACGACTGGGAGATGGAGGGATTCCACCCCTCCACCATCCTGCTGGGCAGAAGGAGGGCAGCCCTGTGGAGGGGTCATCCCTCATACCCACACTCCACAGCCTCCTAGACAGATGCTTGGTGGCCTGCCACCTGTCAGACTCATAGCTCTTCAGGGCTGAAAAGAATGAGTACCCCTCCAGTTGTCCAGAGAGGGGAAGGGACTAGCCCCAGCCACACAGCGCCAGGGCCAGGAGAGGAAGATGGAGTCTTCCCATGAGATCTAGACTTTCCAGGCAGTCGCCACCTGCTGTCCAGACGCGGGCTCCAGCAGACAGGGAGACCGGGCTGGGAGAGGTGCGAAGCCTAGTGGGATGCAGTCCCTGGTCCCCGCGGATGGCAGCCACAGGTCGCCCTGACGGCGCGCCCATGTACATGTCCGCCCAGAATGTAACTGCAATCAGATCGGCTCCGTGCACGACCGGTGCAACGAGACGGGCTTCTGCGAGTGCCGCGAGGGTGCGGTGGGGCCCAAGTGCGATGACTGCCTCCCCACGCACTACTGGCGCCAGGGCTGCTACCGTGAGTGCGGAGTGCGCGCCCGCCCCGGTGGGCGGGGCGGGATGGGAGGGACCCCCCCGTGGGCGGGGCCTAATGTGTTAGTGGGCAGGGTCCTTCCCCCGGTGGAAATCTCTAGGGAGACCGAGCTGGGGTGGGGAGCCCAGGGGTGAGTCGGCCTTAGCAGAGGGTGGAAGATCGTGGCAAGGCTCTGGAGGCGAGGCAGCAGGTGCGCCTGAAGAACTGCGCTGAGGCCCGAGCCGGAGCGGAGCAGGGGGAGCGGTAGCCAGAGGCAGACGGGGCCAGGTCTTGCCGGGCGTCGTTACCAACCAAGCAGGGGCGTTTTGCACCAAGTACGCCCTGAGCCTCACATGCCCTGGTCCAGGCCGTGCCCCAAGGGTTCCCCTATGCCCGTCACAGAAGCTCCAACATGGGGGGTGGACCAGCCACCAGCCGCGTCAACTGCCCCCTCCGCCCCGCAGCCAACGTGTGCGACGACGACCAGCTGCTCTGCCAGAACGGCGGCACCTGCCTGCAGAACCAGCGCTGCGCCTGCCCGCGCGGCTACACCGGTGTGCGCTGCGAGCAGCCGCGCTGCGACCTCGCCGACGACGACGGCGGCCTGGACTGCGACCGCGCACCCGGGGCCGCCCCGCGTCCCGCCACCCTGCTCGGCTGCCTGCTGCTGCTGGGGCTGGCCGCCCGCCTGGGCTGCTGAGCTCTGCCCGGGGACCCGCGGCCGGGGAGGGTGGACCGCGCGCTCTGCGCCATGCCCCGCGCTTCGCGTCCGGGGATCCTAGGCGTCCAAGGCCGGGCGGCGACAAGGGTGCGGCCGAGCTGCTCCCAGGTGCTACTCAGCAGAGTCCTCCCGCCCTCCCGCTCCGCCTCGCGGCACCGCGCCGCCCGGCACTGCCCTCCCTTCGCAGCTGGGGCGCTGTAGGGTTCTGCCCCTGCAGCCTGCGGATTTGGGTTTTAGTTTTTCTTTTATATTACCTGCCGCCTCTTTATTTTATTTTTCTTAATTTCTCTTTCTTTTCACTTTTCTTTTCCTTTGCTGTCCGTGAGACAGGGGGCCGGGAGAAACGCTGCTCGCCCCAACACCCCCAGATCCCGCCCCGACCTCACATACACGCAGGACTGTTGCAGACACCCCTGCGCCCGCCCTGGCTTACACCAGCCAGCGGCCCCGGAACTCCAGTTGCCTACCACTCTAGTCGCTGACTTGATTCTCTTTTATATTCTTTATTTTCCTTTGCAACCCACCAGACCCCGAGCCCCACAGCGGCCTGGTGACCAAGGAACTCACCATCTGGGGTTGGGGGTAGAAAGAAGGGTTGGGAGGGGTGGAAACTTGGTTTTGTAGAGAACTATTTTTGTTTGTATTAACTGTCCCCTGTAAGGAGGGACTGGGTGGAAGCTGGTCACCGAGGGTGGCTGATGGTGTATAACCGAACAGAGTAAAGAGTGCTCACTGCTGCCTCCCAGGCCTTTCTTTCTGTGTTGATGGATACCCAGTAAGTTTGGGGCTTATGGAGGAACCCACAAAATAGCCTTTAAGAAATGATCTCCCTATCAGGGCCACCACTTCCCAAATGGTCCCGTGAGGTTGAGCAGGCAGCCCTCTGGGCAGGCTCCCCACGCAGGGCGATTTCCCCTGGCCAGGCTGCTAAAGACTAATGTTCGGAGCTTCCCCAGACTGAGAGGTTGTCCCCCATCCACACACACCCCCACCCCGGCCAAACCAGAGCATCTTGGCATTTTGCTACAGAAGCCAGAAGAAGTGGCTCACAGTGAATTCTCAAAGGCCAAATCTAATGCTCTGATCTGTAATCTGTCTCTACAGCTGTCCAACCTGGGCGTGGCATCTCAGCCCTGTTGGACCCCCGGCCTCAGGTCCAATATCAGGTCACAGCCCCCCACCCCCACACAAACCACACTGCTACCTTGGCCATGGCCTGCCTGGGCCAGAGCCCTTTTGCTGGTCAGAGAAACCAGAGATGCGCCCTGCAGAGATACACCTCAAGCCATCCACTTCTTCCCCTTACCTTCAGAGGACCAGGGAGGGTGGCAGAGGGGAGAGGGAAGTGAGTCTTGAGAGGAAGCCGCCAAGAATTCAGGGTTTAACTCAGGTACTTTGCTATCTGAGGACCCAAAGGTCTCTGCAGCCACTCAGCACTCCAGCTTTGGGGGTCACCGTCCCCACTGCCTGCCCTCGCTTCTCAAGGCTTCTCCTACCACCTGTTTACTTCTGAGTAGCACCATGGCCCCATCTGGGTTCCTAATTGCTCTCACTATTCCTGCTGGTCACGCCGTATTCTGGCTTCTGCTAGCTGCGTCTGCTCTTTCCAGGCTGGGAAACAGACCTGGATCCTTTGCTCAGGTTCCTGGAGTGAAGCTAAGACTGAGCCGAAAGAACTTGGCCTTGGGAATAATAAGAGATTACACCTGGAAAAGGCAGAGCATCTAGGATGGGTATTAAGTATGACTTGAGGCCCAATGCTGCCCTCTGCTGGCCTCTCTCCACTGCATTCACATCACCAGGCTGCCTGTCAGCTCCCAGCCCCAAGGAAGTGCCTTCTGTCAGTTCCCCTGCAGGTCTCCAGGCTTCAACTCATCTTCAGAGAACCCCACTTAGAGGGACCAAAGTGCCCAGGTAAAAATAAAACACATATCTGGGGCTACTTGTGGGCCAGAGTGGTCATGCAACCAATTCTGGCCAACAAAGTATAAACAGGAGTGATGGATGGTGCTTCCAGAAAGTTCCTAAAAGTTCTCCCCTCTTCCCCACTCCCACAAAGCCTCAGTTGGACCCATGTTGGGCCCTGGCTCTCTCTTCTCTCCCTCCCTGGCTCTGTTCAGACTGGGGATGGGGTGGGCTGAGGCAGGAGCCCTCCGGCAACCTTGATATGAGCACATCTCCCTCTGGATGGTGGAGCCCAGAACTTGCCTCTGAAGACCTAGCAGAGCCGAAGACATCAACTGTGCTGCTGCCCCATTCTTCAGATTGTGTGAGAAAAAATAAATAAACCTTGATGTGATGCAAACTTCAGAAATGAGGTTTTCTGTCCTGTGCAGATTCACCAATTCCTAAATCTCAGGCCCTCCCTGCTTGACATCAGGCCCCTGATTCTCCAGGCCAGAGACTAAAACCCACCCCTACTGCAAGACCCTGCCCCTCAAGTCCAAACACAGGCGATAGCTTCCAGGCCAGGGACAGTGCCACCGATGTCCAGAACAGGGCCTGCTGCTGCTTTCAAGGAGAAGGGGGCAGCTGGCCCAAATCATCTTCCTTCTAGTTGCCAGGAAGAAGGGGACATCAGTTAGAACCACACAGCAGGGGCAATCCCACCAGAGCCGAGTGCCCCGGAGGCTGTGGTGCAGGACCTGTAGAGGGCGCTATTCTCAGAAAGTCGTGAGGGAGGGGAGCTAGGAGAGGGCGGGGAAGGAGTGGTAAGCGACCCTGGAGCCAGGCTTTGTTCCAGTGAAGGGGCAGTGTGTGCATGCTAAATTAGAGTGGCAGCCCCAGACCCAGGGGACCCAGCTGGCCCTGACCTCTGGGCCTGACGCACAAGGACAGCCGGTGGGGTCTGGGGGTCTGGAGAATGAATGCCACTGCAGCAGGGCCGTGGTCTTAAGGGAGAGGGTCCTTCCTGTCAGTCACTCCGAGCCAGAGCGCTGGGAGCTGTTAGGCTAATGGGGGGGGGGGGCAACAGCTCCTTCCGCAAAGCTCATGGGGTCCAGCAGGAGAGGGCCCCCCCATGGGCACCTACCCACCCTCCCTGACCTCCCACCACTGGGATCTGCTGTGTCAGCATCCTTGGGACCAGTCTTTGCTCCGTCGAAGGGGTGGTGGCCTTGTAAACCAGAGCCGCAGCCCCAGTCCCGGGGGACGCGGCTTGAAGCTCAGGCCCTGACCTTGACCGGAAGGTGGAAGGAAAGCTGCCAGTGGCCATTTGGAAAACTCTGACATCCTCCAGACTGCGGGAAGAAGGAGAGGACAAGGTCATTGGAACCAGAGTCGGAGCCCCGCCCCTTTCCTAAGGTGCTCCCTCCTCCCCTAGCTCCCGTTTTGACGCCTGGTTCTGAGTGGTACCTGAGCAGAACCGAAGCTCCCACTTCACAGCTGGGGTGCTGCGTGCCTCTTGTCCTAACCCTGCCCTCACCGAGGACTGACCCTGCCGACTGGACCCTGCCGATGGCGGGTGGGTGGGGCCTGCCTTGCACACTGGGGATGTTTAACAGCACCTCTGACTTCAGCGCGGCTACTAGATGCAATAGCACCCCTTCCTCCCTTCTGGCAGCCAGCGGTGTCTCCAGAGCTGGGTGCAAAATGGCCCCAAGCTGAGACTCACGACTTTAGGAGGAAAGGCTGTTGTGCCTATTTTACAGAGAGGTAAGTAGAGGCTAAGAGAGGGGCAGTAATTGGCCTGAAGTTGCTCAGGAGCAGGAGCAGGGCTGCACTCAGGGCTGCCTGAGCTGTTTAACCCCCAGGCAGGCATCCACCCTTGCCCTGCCCTGCCCTGCCCTGCCCTCGCTGCCCTCCTTCCTCTTCCTCACCTGCAGCCAGGGCAGGCTAAGCCAGGAGCCCTCCTCAGGAAGCTCTGCTGGGAGAGGCGACTCCCCTACCACCCCCTAAACTCCATGCCTGCCTTCCTCACAGCCAGGAGGTGGTGTGGGCGCCTGGGAAGCAGGCCTGGGTGGCTGCCCTCCCTGCTCCTCCCAGCACACCTTGGGTGGGGAGAGTTAAGGGAAGACGCTTCTGGGGGAAAAGCTTCACTTATTTATTTATTTTTTTCCTTTTTAAAACACAAATCACAACTTGTAGGGAAGCCAGAAAATAGGAAAATGGGCTAGCAATAATTTTTAAATTAAAATCATCCACAACCTCCATCCAGAGCTAATAGCTGTTAATGTTTTCTGATAGATATTTCTAGTATTTTTCCATAAAATAAACCCACACACAGATATTACCCCTGCCTCAGTGTTTGTTAAATTCACGTGCTCAGGCTCAACATTTCCTTTTTGGTTTTTGGCTTATTTTATGAGATGGGGTCTCGCTCTGTTGTCCAGGCTGACCTTGAACTCATGGGCTTGAGTAGTGGACCTCCCCACCCAGCCTCCCAGGCAGCTGGGATACAGGCGTGTACCACCACATCCAGCTCTTTTTATTTTTTTAATTTTTTGGAGGGATCCAGTGTGATGTTTTGATACATGTATGTAATGTACAATGCTCAAATCAGGGTGATTAGGGCTGGGGCGGGGCTCCATGGCAGAGCACTTGCCTAGCATGTGGGAGGCACTGGGGTCCATCCTCAGAATCACATAAAAATTGCCCGGGGGGGCGACGAATAATTTGTGTACGTTGATACAGCAGGAATGGAAGCCGTTTATTGTAGGACAACAGAGCTATTTATACATTTTGCACAACTTATCTTAATTAGCATGAACTAGATACATCAGTCAACCAATAAGGAATCTCCACACTTAATGGCTCACTTTTGTTACTTCTCAAACCATTCCCTCTGACATTTTTCCAGGCACCATCCAGACTTGTTTATGAACTCTAACATTCCCCTGGCAAAATACCAGGTGTTATTTTGACTTGTTTACAGACCCTAACAAAAAATAAGTAAATAAAATTTTAAAAACCAGGGTGATCAGCGTACCTATTACCTCAAACATTTATTATCTCCTTGTGCAAGGAACAAAGTTATCCCTTGGAGCTATTTTGAAATACAGGATAGATTTCTAACCACGGTGAGTCCCTACCACACTAGAGGACAGGACGCTCTCTCCTCCCATCCACCTGGTGGAAGGCTGCCCGCGCTGCTCTGTGATGCACCAGTGCGGATTCCAACCTGTCTGGCTGGGGACCTACACGACCAGCACAAAACCCAACTCCAGGGATTTAAGCAGCAAAAGAGAATATTTAAAGGTTCCTGGGACCCATGGACACATGCCAGGAGAGCCAGACATGACTCAGGAGCCACAAAGCTGGGAACCACAGCCAGCATCCTCCCATGGTAGAGCGGAGAGATGGAGCCCAGGGTTGCCCTGGGCGCCTCCGTCTGGGCCCCTCCATCTGGGCCCCTCTGTCTGGGCCCCACCAGGCTTCCACTGCACTCCATTCCCACTCTCTTGAGGGAGATGGAAGGTGGAATGTCTTTCCCCAACTAGAGGAAGGCGACAAAGAAAGAAGCCCTGGCCACCACTGAGTGGGTGTGGCCCGAGCGCCCTTCTGCCCCGACAGGACCTGTGTCTGGGTTCCTGGTGGCAGGGCAGGCTGGAGGCTACAGGAGGCTGCAAGACTGCAGACAGCCAGTGGGTGACCTGCAGCCACAGTGCTCCAGGTGGCTTCTAGCCAGAGGATGCTCTGTGGCCGATGGAGTAGGTGGCCCTGGGGACCCAGCCAGGAAGAGGCGGGAGAGGCTGGAGGCCTGGGCGCTGGTGTCTTACACAGCTGCCCCGTGCCCACGTGGTGGCT